ATTCGTGTGGTGATTTAATTATGCGGCGTGACTAAGCCTTCCATCTAGTCAAGGGTCAACTCGACAGTGCAGTCCCGAAATCTGTGAGATCTAATTAGTTTTTACGCGTTCCTTAATTTATTAATATTTACACGTTGTTTACTTGAATTTTCATGGGATTATTTTATTAATTGGATGTCAAGGGTCCGATGTTCAATGTGATTTATTAATCTCGTGCCAATTTAGTCAATTAAATCCGTAATTGTTTGATTGATTAATATTAGTGGCAACTGGTGTGTTTACACATTAGGGGAACGTGCAATCTAATTTAAATAACCCTCGTAGCGTATTATTGATTAGAGTTAGGTTTTTCTAGTTATTAATGCAATTGGAAAATTAATTCCTATGGTCGTACCTAGGAGTATTTTCTGATTAGGGATGATCAATGGTCGTACCTTGGTTATCAATAATTTAAGGAAAAATTAGTTGTTAGAGTTCATCGGCAACTATAACTAGCCTATTAAGAAATTAAGAGAACCTCCCTTGCATCAATGATCGGATAAATGGACTGTGTCTGAGTAGTTGCATCCTTGGCTAGAATTTATTTATTTTTGATTTAATTCCTGCTATATTTGTGCTAGTTAATTATTCATTTTTAGTTGAATTGTTTAATTATTGTTAATTTCATTCCGGTGAAATCCCCCCTTACCAATTAGAATTTAAAAGAGGCAAATATCCCCAGTCCCTGAGGAGACGACCCTACTTGCCACTGGCTACTTTTCAGTAATTTTTGTCACCTAATTAATTCTGGTATATCGGATTAAGCAAACTCTTCGAGAATAGGGTAAATCAAGTAACCTATTGCGCACCTAGAGTCCCTGCTCCAGTACCTATGATTAATTATTGACAGCTTTTAGTGGTATTTAGGATTTTATTATTATTATTGTACAGGTTCGACGACTTGTCAGCAAAAGAAAAGAACAAGAAAAATCATTGCTTTCTGTCATCTCTAGCAAAAGCATAAACGGAATCTGATATTTCTCCAATTTGGTCAAAACAAAGGAAAAGGATTAGAACAAGTCAATAATTGTGGATCTTTTATTTGTTTCCTCTAGTTGTGCCAAGAAGCAAGAAAAGTCAAAGACAAAAAGGTACAATTCTTTTCCTCTACATTTTTAGCCACCAAAAAAGTGAATGAATTGATTCCCTTTTTCGGCTAGGTCTACCAGAGAAAGAAACGCACCCTGTCCACGTTTTTCTCCTAATTAATTCGTATCCAAATACCAATCACTTCCTAAATAACCTATTACAAATCAACTTCTTCAACTTTTACTTTCCTTTGAAGTGACCCCACTGATTTCCAAATTTATAGCTAGCTACTTCACTCATTTTAGGAAGCTTCCTTCGTGCAAATAATCCCGAGAATTTCGGCCTTGAAAGTTGGAGTTAGGCGTGGGTACGCTGAACTGTTAGGAAGTCTTCTGAAATGTTGATTTTCAGCACCTTTTCATCACTACTTCCTGCAATTAACACCAAACACACAACCTGAGTAGAATCCCCCAAATAGTGTAATATTTAGTCAAAATAATTGTGCAATATTAGTAAAATATCTCACTAAAATGCACCCTATCAACATGACTAGGTATCGTTAATTGGAACAATTTGGTGTATCCAAATGTATCATCTCCACTTCTCCACTGGAAAAGCCCTCATAATAGTGTTTGAGAGCATGCCCATTCACCACAAACTTGTTGTCCATCTTAGTGGTCTGGATTTCTACTGCATCATAGGGAAATACATGAGTAACAATAAAAGGACCGATCCAATGAGAACGCAGTTTACCTGGGAATAGCTTAAGCTTGGATTGGTATAGGAGAACCTTCTGTTTAACTTCAAAAGTCTTCCTAGAGATCTGTTGTTCATGAAACGTCCTACTTCTCTCCTTATAAATGAATGCGTCTCATACGCTTCATTTCGGATCTCCTCTAATTCTTGCAAATTCAACTTTCGATGAGCACCAGCCTTCTCTAAATTCATATTACACTATTTTATTGCCTAAAATGTCTTGTACTTGAACTCTACTGGAAGGTGGCACAACTTCCCGAATACCAATCTATAGGGTGATATTCTTATAGAGGTCTTATACGCAGTCCGATAGGCCCAAAGTACATATTCCAGCCTTTGACTCTCATCCTTCCTATCGGATCGCACCATTTTTTTCAAGATAGACTTGACTTCTCGATTCGACACCTCAGCTTGGCCATTAGTTTGAGGGTAGTATGATGTTGAAACCTTGTGTAGTACACCATACTTTCGAAATAGCGTAGCTATGGTCTTAGTGCAGAAGTGCGTCTCTCGGTCACTAACAATAGCTTTTGACATTTCAAAACACACAAAAATATGAGACTTAATAAATTCTGAAACCACGTTCGAATCGTTAGTCCGAGTAGCTTTACTTTCCACCCATTTGGAAACATAATCAACTGCCAATAATATATATATATATATATAACCAAACGATGTAGGAAAAGGTCCCATAAAATCTAAATCCCAAACATCAAAAATTTCTACGAAAATCATCGGGAATTGGGGCATATGATTTCTTCGGACTATATTATCTAACCTTTGACATCGAGCACAGGATTTACAAGATATATGTTTATCTTTAAACAACGAAGACCAGTAAAACCCACTCTCTAATACCTTGTGCGCGGTTCGCTTTAGTCCAAAATGACCTCCACAGGTAAATTTATGACAAAAAGTTAATATCGACTGAAATTCAGCTTCACTTACATATCTTCTCATTACCTGATTTGCGTATCTCTTCCACATGTAAGGGTCATCCCATATGAAATACTTGGTATCGCTCTTCAACTTCTCCCTCTTTGCTTTAGGCCAACCTGCAGGTAATTTACCAGTTACTAGGTAATTAACTAAATCAACATACTAAGGCAATTTAGAATTTATAGAAAATAATTGTTCATCAGGGAATATATCCTTCAATGGCACTTTCTCCTCTCCAACTAGTATGTGATTTAAATGGTCAGCTACCAAATTTTTCTAACCTCTTTTATCTCTTATCTCCAGGTCGAATTCTTGCAGGAGCAATGTCCATCTTATGAGCCTCGGTTTCTCATCTTTCTTGGTCATTAGGTACTTCAATGCTGTATGATCAGAAAATACAATAACTCTAGCACCTAATAAATATGACCTGAATTTTTCTAAAGCAAAGATAATCGTAAGAAACTCCTTTTCAATAGTGGAGTAATTTAGTTGAACTCTATTTAAGACTTGGGACGTGTAGTAGATGGCGTGAGCTGTTTTTCCTACTCTTTGTTCTAGCACTGCCTCCATTGCAGAGTCGCTAGTATCGCACATGATCTTAAATGGGAGATTCCAATCAGGAGGTTGGATGATCGGTGGCAATGTCAATAGCTCCTTTAACTTGTCGAATGTTCTCTCACACTCGACACTGAACTCGAAGACCGGATCTTTTTGTAAGATTTTAAATAGAGGAGCTCAAATCTTTGAGAAATTCTTGATAAACCTTCGGTAAAAACTTGCATGTCCAAGAAAAGAATGCACTTTACGCACACTCACGGGATAAGATAAAACAGATATAATGTCTATTTTAGGCTGATCAATTTTAAAACCCTTAGAGGACACTACGTGACCTAGAACTATCACATGCTCAACTATAAAATGACATTTTTTTCAGTTAAACACGAGATTAGTTTCTATACATCTCAACAAAATCAATTTCAGGTTATCTAAACAATTATCGAAACTATCACCATATACACTAAAGTCATCCATAAAAATCTCGATAATTTTCTTAATACATTCTGAAAAATGCTCACCATATATCTTTGAAATGTCATAGAGACATTACACAATCCGAAGAGCATTTGCTTGTGGCTTCTTCTCGATCTGAGTCACTCGAAGTATCACCAAACAAACTTGTTGATTCAACTTTCGAATCAAGTCTCTGAGATGCAGCACTCGATTGCTCTTCTCTAAGCTGTCTGGTCTCTTTTCGCATTCGGTGTGCTATCTTCTCTACTCAGGGTCGAAAATTAATTCGCTTGTACGAGAAGAACGAGGCGTAAAGTAGAAAAGTACTAGAAAATGAAAATGAAAATGAATTTAAAAATAAATAAATTAACTAACACCATCCCCGGCAACGACGCCCAAAATTGATAGGTAGTCGACCCTATGCAATAATAAATACCTACTCAAATAAAATATAATTTCTATAGATAGTGATAAGTAGGGCCGAATCTACAGGGATTGGGAATATTTGTCTCTTTTGAAATTTAAACTAACAATGGTGGTTTTTATAGCAATGGTAATAATTAAACGGTTCAAATAAGAATAAATAGCCAACTTAAAAGTAAATGACAAATTATTAAGACCAAATTGATAATAACTAAGCTTTAGCCAAAAAATAGTTTCAGTAATGGTTCCAACTAATTGATCATCGATGCAGAAATAATTTCAATTATTAACTAATAAATAAGTTATAACTGTCAAATAAGCGATGATAATCAACTCCTCCTTACTGTGTCGATGATTGAAATACGCCCGTCAATCACTACTCTAATCAAGAAATAATTTTAAGTACGCCCATAAGATTTAATTCTCCAATTGCCTTATATATTAGAAGAGCCATATTCTAACCAAATAATACACTACCATGGTTATTTTAGATTAGCCTGCGTATTCTTCCTGACACGAACCCAATCATGCAAGTTGCCACTATTTCAGAGCAATTGAACAATTACGGATTCAACGCTCTAATTGACATTAGGTTGCTAAATTAATTCAACGTTCGTGTCCAAGATATTCAATTAACAAAATAACCATAAACGCTACAAACAGAGGATTGCAAATACCAGTAAATAAGAGGAATAAATAAAATTAATTCGATTTTACAATTTTTAGATGAATCAAAACTTCCGTTATTTTTTAAGTAGAAAAAGAGATTTAGTTTATCTTCGTTAAAGAAAACCCACGCACAATTGTAGAATCAATTGTTGCATACATCGTCTCTCAATTGAGATGATCAAAGCGAATGAATAATTGAAATTACAATGAATAAGACAAAAAAGTCAAAAGTTAAAAATAATGAAGATGGTATGCTATATTTCTCTCTAATTCCTATCTACCCATTGTCTACTCCTATACGGCTACCAAAAGGAATAGGAGGGAAGACTCCTAGTCTCCGTTGACTTCCTTCCTCTCTGGAAACTACCAAAAAGAAGAAAAAGGAAATATCGTAATTTTTCTCCAAGTCTATTTCATATTTTTCTACTAAATAAGGAAACAGAATTGAATTAGTCTCCTACTTCCTACTACTACTCAAATTCTTTTACTTGCTGCCATCGGAATTAATTCTGCGCATCTCCTGTTCACGGGGACGTATGGCCGGCAATTGTATTAGTTGGCAAACTTCGTGACTCCGCTTTGCAACTCTGGATGTCCCGCATCAATTAGCAAGTGTACGATGAATTTGCGCATTTTTACCATATTTTATACCAACTCTCTGCAATTGACACAAATTTCTAAAAGTGAATAAAATCCGTCAATTAATGCATATTTGGTAAAATAATGTGAGGGAATTAATTACAAAATACATAACAAAAATGCAACGTATCACATACATGTACGGAGCGTGTGGTCAATCAATCAAATCAAAACATGGGAAGTTCAAACACCATTCAAATTGATATGTTAGCTCATGGCATGCCTGTTCCCTATCGACAACAGGATATCCAGCAGAAAAGGCAACTGCTCGTGTTGATGCTTTCCAACCTTAAGAAGTTAGTAGTTCTCTTATTCCACTATTATGAGAAAAGACTATATTTTATTCAATTCTTATCATCCTGTGAGCTAAATTATTATTAGAAAAGAATGAAGGATATGTTGTTGCAAAGGGAGACAAAATCTAGCATGCAGCAAAGACCTTAGACTTCAAAGCTGTGCCGCAGAACGATGCTTTCAGCATCAAAGAAATGCACAACCAAAGTACTCGAACATGAAATCACTTAAAAAGGCGTCAGAATAATTAGAATCAATATTGCAATTCCATCTAAATCATCAGGAGTATTAGAAGTTACATGACATCGTACCATTTTGCTGCTTCACTGACATGCATAGGTCTAGCACGATATCATGAACACGACATGCTCTGACCCTGCCATTGTATCGTCTTCTTGATATAGTTACCAAGTTTCTGGATATTAGATCCAACAAGCATTCCTCTGCAACATCCTCCAATGATTTTGACTCAGTTTGTTTTATCAATCCATTTTTTATCCATAGTCGGAACAATTTTGGAGCAGGAATTTCTTTCCTATCTGGGAATTCTCCAATATAATGAAAGCAGAGCTTCAAGTGATCTGGTAAGCTGTCATAAGCAACTCGTAGCACAGGAAGGAGCGATACAAAACGAGTCCTTGAGGACAAACTCTGTGCCACTTCTGCCCAACAGGAACATTCCATTTTTGTGTTTGCAAGGACACCAGCCATTATAACAATTGCAAGAGGAAGTCCTCTGCATTGTTCCACAATCCGCTGTCCTACTTCCATCAATGACGAATCGAAAGTTTCAGTCTCGAATTTCTTTTTTAGGAATAAGAACCAAGATTCATCAATGGTTAGAAAACGATGAAAGTGGATGCGTGCCATCGGATCAGCTTCTGCAGCCAGTTCCGCAATTCGGCTGGTCAACATAATTCTACTTCCCGAATCATCATCTGGAAATGATCTTCTTAAATCATCCAAGGTTTTGGTGTCCCATATATCATCCAAAACAATGAGGTATCTCTTTTGCTTCAAACAATTGTACAGAACTCCTGCTAAATCATCATCCCGCATGTCATAAATTCTATTAGTAACAACCGTAACATCACGCAATATATCAAGTAAGATCTCTCGTCTTTGATATTCTACGGACTCAATACACCACGCACGGATCTGGAAGTGCTGAACAACTGCAGGATGGTTATAAGCTCTTTGGGCGAGAGTTGTCTTACCAATCCCACCCATGCCGACAATTGAAATGATATCCATCCTCATTGTTCCTCTTGTTAGTCGATCAATAATTCTGTGTGTTTCATCTTCAAGCCCAACCACAACGTCATCAATTCTCCGTGGATCAGCTGTGGCATCACTGTCGGCACCAATGCCATACCTTTTCTCGTCGTATATTTCCATGATCTTTGCTTTAATGATTTTGAGGTCTTCCATTGCTAAAGGAAACCACAGCATAAAGTAGCAAAGAGCATTATCTCTTACAAGAAGTAAATCAGTGATATACTTCGTCTCGGATGCAACATCTGTAATACATGCCCAAAGATCTTTCAATTCTCGATGCCAAATATAGTGCTCTGCAGTATCCATGAGGAAGGATTCGAGGAACTGGAGCTCCCCGAGTAGCGTTTCAATGTGATGTTTCACGAAGACAACAGAATTAGCTTTGTCCTTTATATTGTCCAAGAGGTCAAATATTCCTATAGTTCCAGACGTTTCACAGCAATCTGAGAATAGAACTTGAAGGCAAGTTTCTTGGATCTCTGCTTTGAAAAGCTCAATCTTATCTGCAAACTCAGAAAGCAAACAACTCATTTCAGTGCCCATTTCCTCTTTGGTTACATGCTCACGAAGGGAAAAAATTAGAGATGCCGCCTCATTGGCTGTAGCTTCACACTTTGCCGACGTCAGTTGATCCATTTCTTCCACGGGAGGATTCACGAGGAAGGTTCTGAGCAATCTGACCCCTTCCTGGAGGGTTTTAACTTCATCATTCATGTGAACTATCAAGCCTAACTTGGGAATTTTATTAAGCTTCATCAATATAACCTCTGCCTTGATCAACTTAATTTTCAGAAGCAATCTGAAAATGGAAAAATCCAATTCACTGGCCATGTCTTCTGTCATTCCACTGCCACCAGATGACGAAATAAGTGATGATGACTCGCTAACAACAGAGTCAAGATGCAGCACAAACAATTCCCAGTCCTCTGAATTAGCCTCAGCATCTATGGTGTCCATGAGACAAGTTCTCAAGAACTCCATCCCCTCATGAAGGCTTTTAATTTCATGATCCTTAACACAGGATACCAGATTAGCTTCATGATTATGTAGCCTCATTAAGGATAGACCCGCCTTAACCAGCTTAATCTTAAGCAGCAATATATGAAGTGAAAGATTCATTTCCATCACGGGATCTTGCATTAAATTGTTTTCATGAATTGAATATATGAAAGATATCACCTCGGTTCCCAGTGCTTCAACATGTTTGGAGAATAGTTTGCCATCCTCTTCTTTCTCCTCAGGCAGGTAAATTGGAACAGTTCTTAGGAATTTCAACCCTTCATGGAGGGCTGTGTATTTATCCTTCATTGACACCATAAAAACTTCTTGAGAGTCTAGCAGCTGCATCAGAATGATCTCCGCTTTGATCAGCTTCATCCTGTGAAGAGGCCTTGACAGAACAAGACTCATTTCAGCGACTTGCTCTTCTGTCACTTCGTTGACCTGAAATGATGCAGCATCCGTAGCGGCTGCTCTGATATCTGATGAGATCCTTTCCAAATCTCTAGTCGACTCATCTGGTAGAACCATTAGAAATTTCATGAGGCATATTAGCTCCTCATGAATGGAACTGATTCGATCTTTGAGGGATTCTACCGTGTTTTCCAGGAGAAAGTTGACAAAGCTTGTGATTGCATCTGTTTTTGCCGTTCCTGGTCCCATTGGCAACGAAGCTTTCAGAAGTTGAATGAACATCTCCATCAAATCTGAACTAGAGGGCTTAACCTCCTGAAGTAAATCAGAAAGCTTAACATCCGTATGACAAGCCATGACTTCTTCGGGTGCCCCATCCCAACCATGGTTCGCCAAATCGGCCGAGTCCGAGTTGACTCGGCCGAGTCATAACCGGAACGGGACTCACCGGTACGATACCGACACCCGCATCGCCGTTTCACCGGAATCCGAGTTGACTCGGATTGACTCGGTCGATATTTACCGAGTCAACTCAAATCAATAAGAAATCAGTAAAACTTACCGAGTTTGGCCGAGTCAACTCGCGAGTCAGACAACAAAATCACCCACATGATTTCTTCTTTCTCCCACCGGTTGTCATTCTCATTCCATCACTTCTGCTAGTGCAACCCATCATAATTAGTTGAGGTTTCTTGAGGGTTGTGATTGTAAGACTCGTAATTTCGTTGGGATTGATCATAATCTTCAGATTGGGAGTACAACAAGAAGAATTGGAGCAAATTTGGAAGTAAGATGAATCTGTAAAAATTTTGTGGGATTCGGGGTTTTGGAGATTTTTGTGGGTGGTGGTAAACTGGTAATGGTGGTGGAGCTTGAGAAGAGAGAGACAGAGAGAAATAAAGGGGGAGGCGGTGGAAAGATGAATCTGTAAAAATTTTGTGGGATTCGGGGTTTTGGAGATTTTTGTGGGTGGTGGTAAATTGAGAAGAGAGAGACAGAGAAATAAAGTGGGGAAGGCGGTGGAATGGAAACGTTTTCTAGGGATTATGGGAGGCAGTGTGGGTTGTGTACGTGGGAATGTGAGGGGATAGAATGGAGTGAGGTGAGAGAGAGAGATAAACACCCAACAAAAAAAAAAAGAAAAAGAAAAAATTACAGCCAAATTACAGCTCAAAGGCCACCAGATTCTATCTCACGTCCTTTCCAACTTTCTCTCTAATCCGAACAAACATTTCTTGGTCAAAGGGGGATACCTAAAACTTCATTCCTCTGTTTTTTGAATGCATTCACGTTTCCATTCATTCAACATTTCAACCCCCCTGACACCAAAGGAACAAGAGATTAGAATAGTCCAACAAATATTAAATTGGATTAGTTAACAACAAATGAACTGGGTTTTTTTCAACATCTTTTGTTTATTAATTAGAACTACGTCATTTTTTTTTAAGACTTACATGGTATCTATGTTAACTTAGGTTTTTTATCAAATTTAATTTGATAGTTGTATTGCTTATATTATTTTTTATTTTTAATAATTTTTTTTAGAATTTTTGAAAGTTTTATATACTTTAACTCACGTATCACCCGATATTTAATCGATATGCCGTGACGGATGTGGAACAACCGCGACCGCGACGCGACCGCGACGCGACCGCGACCCGCGACGGCGAACCATGATCCCAACACAAAAAGGAGAACCATGCTGCTTTGGTTGCAAAAGAATGAGCATAGGCAAGAAAAGTTGCCATCTCCTGATGAACAATATTGGATTGCTTTGCAGCCGTCCCAATGAAATCCCTCAGGAAACTTAACTTCTCTATTAGTATTTTGACTTGTTTCTTCATCAAAGAGACTAGACAAGTCGAGCCAATAAGAATATCCTCCAGGTTCTCCAGTACAGAGTCAATTAAATCCATGGCAGACGCAGGATCAATCAGAGGAGAGTTGACCTCCCTCCTCCAGGGCTGCTCAGACAAGATAGCATAAGCATTCTTTATTTTGGGTTCCCAAAGTTTTACATTTTCCAGCATGTAAGAAACCGAAGAATCAACTTTCTCCAAATCCACTGGCAGAAAACAAGCAGAAGAAAGCTCATCTATCTCCTTGCTAAATGCAACATCAGTTTCAAAAATGCCGGTCAACGAGCTTGATGCAGAAGGAATAGCCTCAGGTATTCCTGTGGCAATCAAGCAAGTCCTCAGAAATCTTGATTTCTGTTTAAGGGTCAACACTTGATCCCTCAATGGAGATGCCAAGCTGCAATTCTTCTCTAGCCAATCCAGATTTTGTATGGGAGAATCCAGGAATGTGTTGACCATCTTGATTTCCCTGTGTTCTTCTCCCTGACATAGATTTGTGGCAGAAATGAAGGATGTGGTGATCAGAAAACAAAAACAGAAAGAGATTTGCTGTGATGAAATGAAGAGAGACTCTAGCAGACAAGTGCTATGAATCAACAAACCAAAGTTGTGGTAAAGTTGACTGGGAGTTTCTACCGAAACAATATTATAGTCTTATTAATTAAGACCGCCAAAGACTCTCCCGGTCTGTCATCTATCCATGCTCTATATAAAATGTCTTGAATGATTTACATTTTGATATTTCTTACTTTTTTGATCTTCCTAATATACCAGCACTAATTATGATAGTAGCTTAACCATAGAGGAACAAAATTGTCATATCTAATAAACATGGTGAAATAAGTCTTACTCTCCTATCAAAACATGAATTCTTAATTCTGAATCTTAACATACCAAATTTGGCTGAATCAAACCCCAATCAATCCCTACAAGAGCCAATTAAATCAGCACAACTGTCCCTGAACGATGGCATTAGAAAGAAGGAATTTAAAATGACCGTATCCGAAATATGATTTCTTATAGTCAAAATCATAAAATAAACAAAGCTATGGACAATCATATTGACAACTGAAATCCACTTTCTTAGATGAAATCCACTTCCTCTGATATTACCATTTTAATTCACCACAATGATACTCCTGTCTATAGAACAAATCAAAGTAATTGTTTATGATTTCAACTTACGATTTCTTCCTTGATACAATAATTGGAAGCAAAATGAATGCTTCCATAGTTATGATCCGAGAACACATTCCAGCAAGTAAAAATTTATGCCTTCACTGTGAGAAACCTTGGCGGAGCATAATGCTATGCCATGGTAGCACTAATACAACGTCACTGCGTTTTAATTTATTTCTAATTGAGCATTGTTTATCGATTTGATAGGTATATATTTTATGCTTGACTATCTATGGGAGTTCAAGGGCTTCTGTTATGTGTGTTTAGAATAAAGTGATCCAATAGAAGTCAGCTGTCAAATCTGGTCTAAATTTGGCAATTCCAAGAGAAGTGATAATAGGGATGGCAATGGGGGCGGGCGCCCGCGGGGGGCTCATGGGGCGGGGGTTGGGGCAAGGGGTGGGGCGGGGGCGGGGGGAATTTTTTTCCCCCTCTTAGAAACGGGGCGGGGGGCGGGGGGTATACTCCCCCGCCCCATCCCCCGCCCCGCCACCCGCAAAAAAAAAAATATATATATATATATAAATAAATGACTATATATTATATGTAAGTTAATTAGTTATAAACTTATGATAATGATATTATTAGTTAGATGTATTATATAATGTATATTAGTTTATGTAATATAATTGATATTATCAATTATATGAATAATTATACATGTCTACTAATAGAATTTATTAATTAGTTATACTAAATTTACTAATACATTTATACTAAATTTCTAATTACACTTAATAGAATAACACTTTTTTCTCAAAAAAAAGCACAAACACAATGATGAATTAGTGATTGCATTTGTACTAAAAGTGAAAATTTGACTATTTTAGTTATATTTATTTCATCATATTGGATTGTATTCAAATAACTTCTGTTTGATTGTTTTTATGAGTTTCAATTGTAAAATTACAATGAATAATAATTTGGTGATGTGTTGATATTTTAGTACTTGATTATTTATTAAAATTTAATTATAATAAAATTATATAATAAAATTTTATTAACCCCGCGGGTGCCCCCGCGGGGGAAGCGGTGCAAGGCGGGGCGAGGGCGGGGGCGGGGGGAGCGGGAGGCGGGGGACGGGGGGAACTAATAGGCAACGGGGCGGGGGACGGGGGAGGGGTCCCCCGCCCCAACTCCGCCCCGTTGCCATCCCTCATAAATCTATATGCTATCTGTTGCTAAGAGGTATAACATAGAAAAGAATTTGTTGGTTAAGAGGTATTTATAGGGTAACTTAGGTATAATTTAAATGTTTCAACAAATGCCCATTAGATGCCCATTAGAAAAAGCTTTCAAAAATTATTATTTTAACAGAATTTTTTTTTTAAGATAGAAATTTTTATCTTCATTCATTGCTAAGTTAACCATGGCGGTCATGAACCAATGCATAGTAGCTCTATCCGTCAATGTTGTCCCGGAAAATATAAGTAGTTAATTCATTAATATTATCCCTCTATACAGCTAAAGCAAACAAGGAGGAAGTATTGATGCAGTTAACATTACTGTGTTCAAAGAGCTCCATGAAGATGGCTAAAAACATGCAAAAAAAAAAAAAAGGATGGTACCATTTAACAATATCCCCAATATGTAAGTGATTGATCAGACATATGATTGTCTATTAGTTATATATATATATATATATATATATATATATATATATATATATATATATATGAGTTTGCCAAGAGTATTTGAGTTTAATCTACTCTTTGTATTGGAGAAATATTATTATTCTTGAGTTACCTAAATTATAGCATTCTTTATCTGTATAATCACATGTAATTTATTATTATTTATGATAATTTAACCACAAATAACTTTCTTTAATTCATTTTCACTGTTAGAGACTATAGTTCAAGTAAAAGTTTCCATTTTAATTTAATTTTCTAAAGTACACGGCTATAGTTATTATCAATAACATATAGAAGTGCTTTCCAACTTTAAAATGGAAACTAGGAGAAAAGTGCCTCACATAATGTTATTATTGCAATTATTACCCTGTAAAAGTTCGAATAGAAGTTTTCTCAAGTTCATGGTGGATACAATTAGCAATTGTAGCTTAGAGAAGAAAAGAAAATTGAAGATTTGCATTTGTATTATAATGTAGTCCTAATTTTAGATTTCAGAGGGTATACTCTCCCGCCCCCTACCCCGTATTTTTAACGGAGGGAAGGGAGAGGGGAAATCCCCTCCCCTGATCCCCACCTCATTAGCCCCACGGGTACCCTGGTCAATTGCCATCTCTGGACTCGAGGGTTGGGAAAATGAAGGCTTTAATTACATTTACCTCCATTGAGGTTTAACCGAAGTACCAATCACTCCTTAAGATTTCACCAAATAACGAAATGAACATTCAAACTATAACAAACACCCTTTTCCCGTTAGTCAATTAACGACTGACTGTCAATCTTGGTGATTTCAGCATAAGCTATACAATAAAAACCCTAAAATACCCACTCTTAAAAGCCATTTTCCCCATTCTTTTTTTTACTTAAAAGCCACTCTTAATAACGCCCCACTGCCACCTACAGGTTTCCAAAATTGAGAAAATTGCACTACTAAAACCGCCTTCTTGCATGGTACATGATTCTTGCATCAAAATTCAACAAAATTGATAGGAGAGCAGCCATACAAAGTAAAAGCCATGGCTATTCCTCCTTTTCATCTCACCCAAATGACAGCCATTTTGATGAAACCTATAACAAAAATGATCCTTTTAATGAGGAAAAAATAAACATGGCAGCATCATCACAAGAAAATTGAAACATTAGGAAGTCGAGGAGCCACGACTCATAATCCTCATAAGTCCCAACTTTTCAAAAAATAAACAAATGGTAATCACATATCCGCTACACAAGGGGATTCAGCCTAAGATCCAACCTTCATCAACCTAGAAATAAATTTCCATGCTTGTCAACAACGTACTCCAATCTTATGTCTAATTAAACTCAAACAATGAAAAAAAAAAGTAAAAAATTCAAGATTGAAATGCTAGAGAAAAAAGGGGAAAAGAAGCTGATGGTGTGGTGGTG